ATGATTAAGACCTCGGAAAAGTAGACAAAAACAAATGATAACTTAGATTTTCTCAAAGATGAAATTGATAGATACTTCTTTACTTCACTAAATCACTTAAGAAACAAATATCGTCTGATGGTTTAAAATATCAGCAAAGATAGCTAGTATATCAAAAGATTTAGATATAGTGTACTGATTTTTGTTGTAAACCGTTTGCCTCACAATCTAATCTACATTTATGGTCAATTTTGCGTCCCTATATTTTTTCCAAAACTTTGCCTCCAGAAATGTTCTTCCGGAGCCCGCCATAGAATATGCATCAGAAACCAACCTAATAGCAGAATTATTATAAACAGAAACAAAAACTGATACATTATATCTCCGCAGATGTATAACCTAAATTTGATTACGGATCCGTATACCAGAAGGAGCATGTCGCTGAGGAAACTTGATGCGCGGGATCCTCTTCAAGGCATGAGCACCTCCGCCCATGTCTGCCCGTTCCCGTGTTTACAGAAAGCTTTGTTCGGAAATTCGGGAGAAAATTAGGAAGCAAAGTTTTGAATTTTGAAGATAGATTAGTCTAGGTGAGACTTTGGTTCGGTGCGGTTATAATACTCTGTATTAGCAAGTGTAATTATTAACGGTTTGGTTTTTGTTTTGCATTACGGTTCGATTCTATGTTCTAATAAACATATGTATTCGGAACCATTCAGTAAGACAGTAACCAATTTATAATATGGAGTAATATACTAGTAGTTTTTTTTATATATTACCTCTGTCTCACTCAACTTTGTCAAGTTCAAGTTAAGTGAGAAATTAGAATATTAAAAACTCTGTGATTGAAATTTGTTTAGAAGAGAGATAAATGAACAGAATCACAGATTAGTTGTTTAAAAAGAAAAGTGGCATGTCTTTTAATACAAACAAAAGGAGATTTGCAATTTTAGTCTTGTAACTTTCGGCTGTTATCGTTTTTTGTCCTGTAACTTTAAGCACTTGCAAATTTTGTCTTGTGACTAATAAAACTTTGTAATTTAAGGACTTTTCCACCGGAAAGTACACTTTCCGGTGGAAAAGTCCAACGTCAGCGACATCTTTTCCGGTATGCTATTGCCGGAAAGTGTACTTTTCAGGGGAAAAGTCCTTAAATCGCAAATATTAATTAGTTAGAGGATCGAATTTGCAAGTGACTAAAGTTACGGGACTAATAATGATAACGGCCGAAAGTTACGGATGAATATTGCAAATTTCTCATATAAAAAAAGTTGACAAATTTCAGCGGGACGAAGAGAATATTACTTATTAGTATTTCTATTTTACGAGTAACATTTATTTGTAAACCAAGTTCACTAATTTAATTTAGTTAATATGATTGAATGGTTGATAACTTGATATGTATTAAATTTCTTTTTTGTTTTCCTTACTAACTTTTTGAATTTGTTATGTACTTATGTTTCAAACTTTAAATGGAGAGATTGAGCTATGAAAGTGGAGATAATTAAATGAATAGTAACGTGTGAATGAGTTGTGTTCTAGGGTTACAAGCTCCAAAAGGAGTATAATTAGAGAAATAATGGACCGGGCCGCTAATATGGGTCCGATAGGTCCAACTACATAAAAGACTAATCTAGTACATACAGATGATATATGAACAGTACAATGATACAAAAGATCCGATAAGCGTGTGTGGGCCGCTGTCTAGGCCCAATAGTAGTGAGACCCAGGGGTCCAAGTCTATATACTCTATCAGGAGTCTCCCACTCCCTGAGTCGAGAGTACTCGAGGCGAAATGGAGTAGAACTAGGTGCTGATCTGTCGTCGTCTGGTGAGTAAACTTCATGAAAAAATTTGAGGTGCTAAGTTCCCCGCTCTTCGAGTCCTCCACTCCTTGAGGCACGTGTAATGAGGTGAAAAGGAGTAGAGTCATGCATGTCTTCAATATGGGGCCGAGGGTCGACACCTTTTGATCCACAATGAGGAGATGCCTCGTTAAAAACCTTATTAGGCAAAAACTCAGCGGGAAAAAATCTTGATGAGGGAAAAAGAGTACACCGGATGCCCCCAAAATGAAGTAAAATGGGTGAGCCCTTCAGCCTAAGTGTGGAGCTGCAACAGTGTCCGTCTGCTGAAGGGATGGTCGAGACCAGTCTCTAGATGTGAGTAGCTCAGCATGATAATTAGTTCCAGTCATCAAATAAAGATGACTAAGAGATAGGTCGAGTGACCCTCCATAATATGATATCCGGGTCATCAAATAAAGTGACCGAGACGTGTGGCCGAGAGGCCTACAAGAAGTCCAAGTCATCAAATAAAGATGACCAGGAAAGACGACTAAGTGGCATGTATGATGTCATCATTTAGTTGCACCTATGCATTCAAATAAAATTGTTATAATTTCTTGAGCTTATAATTTGCTATTGGATTTGGGTCTAAATTAAGTTGGCTCAAATTTCCAAGCTAGGGCTCAAGCTAGATTTCTATGCTTAGTTGAGCGTGGCATGCATAAAGGATTGAACCTACCGCCAAGGGATTGTAGTTCAATTCCGATAGCTAGAGGTCACACATAACTCGTACAAAACATAGAAACTAGAGTATGTATTAGATAACATGTGGATTGGGAGCTTACTATCCACACTCGTTTGACGTGACCCGGTGGTGCAAGATTTTAGCTCTCTTCCGGTGTACGCGAGTGCTTGGAATTCATAAGTCCATTTTTTCAATGTCAAAAAATACATACTATTTAAAAAATAATGATAGTAAATTAATAATCTAGCTCAACTTGTCACTCAAGTTCGTAGCTGAGATCCGCTAAACGCTATTTACGGGTCTTTTCACGGATGACTCGTTCCTCAAGATTGACGTTTGATGCTATATTATTAAAATATTTCATTTTATGATTTTTTTTTGTTTGTAATTTTCGTATCAAATGTGTCCATATACTAATTGTATGGAGAATTGGAGATAGTTTTCGAATACTTAGCTTCTGTTGGGATGGGCTGAAAAATGATGAGTTGTGTGGGCTCACGAAGAAATTCGGCCTTCGTATTGACCTAGCCTTTTTCAGCTCTCTTGTTTGGCAAGTGGGAAGGCTGCGTTCAAGAATCCACGTAGCACACATAGTGCTACTGTCGTCCATGGAGGAGCCTAGCAGCGACCGAGGATTGATGGGCTGTGCCAGCGGCAAAGCTTCCTCAGGCGGAGGCTGATACTTTCTTCGACGGTGGCAGAACGGAAACAAACGGAAGCGAGGTCGCTGGGACTCTGGCAGCACCGGCGATATCTTGACCGACACTCTGCAAGGAGCAAGGGCTCCTTAATGGCAGAATGGCGATATCTTGTGGCCATTTAATGGCAGAAACTTGCAAGGGTTCACCAGATTAGAGGGGAGCTGCGACTGACGGCCCGTTTCCAGATCTCGCCGCCGTGATGATGGAGCAACGGGGTCGTTCATCTCTCCAGGAGCTCTCGGGCGGCCATTAATGGTGGACCACCTTGAAAGAATCAGATCCCGAGCAGCGGCGTGTGCTGGAACAGTGACGGTGAGATCTGAACGACGATCTTCCGCGTTAGCTCCCAGACCAGGTGCAACGGTGGGCAGGAGCTTGGACGCGACCAAAGCTCCGATCAGATATGGGGCTTCTCAGATCTGAAATTGCATATTCTTCATCTTTTTTTTTGCATTTTCCAGATCATTTTGTTCTGGATTCTTTGTGATTCATATGAATTTCTTGATGTTTGTGGAGAGGAATCTCACTTGATCTGCTCAAAACTCTCAAGGAGAGCACCTGATGGATTATAGGGATCCAAACATATAATTAAATGGAGAGATTGAGCTATGAAAGTGGAGAAGATGAATGAATAGTAATGTATGAATGAGTTGTGTTCTAGGGTTACAAGCTCCAAAAGGAGTATAATTAGAGAAATAATGGACAGGACCGCTAACATGGGCCCTATAGACCCAACTACATAAAAGACTAATTTAGTACATACAGATGATATACGAACAATACAATAATACAAAAGACATTTGATAATCATGTGTGGGCTGCTGTCCAAGCCCAATAGTAGTGAAACCCGAAGGTCTGAGTATACCCTATCAGATGGTAAGACTGCAAGACTCCCCACTGTTAGAAGGTTTGTTGGTGGACAAGGGAAGAAGAAAACTTTATAGCTATTCCTAAAATTTTGTGCCAATTCCAATATTGCAAGATTTGCATCTAAAAACTAAAAGTGAATACATGGTACTCCCTTCGGTCCTTAATTAATTTTACACTTTCTTTTTGGGTCGTCTCATATTAAACTTTACCCTTCCTTATTTGCTTTATTTGGCAAACAAATCTACACCAAACAGTGTCAAACAAAGTCAAACAGTGTACTCCACACTAAAGTCAACTTTATTTCCTTAATATGTGTGAAGTCAAAGTGTATAGTTTAAAAAGGACCGAAGGAAGTAGTATCTTAGTATATCAATTGAACACGACACTTATTTCAAAAGAAAATCCACACAGCCATGAGACCATCCTTGCTTCTTTAGGGTCAGGCAGAACCGAACCAGCTAGTTCTAACTTCCAAGTTGAAAAGTAATACTACCTCCATCCCACTAAAATTGGAACGAGAGAAAGTGGCATGATTATTAAGAAAAGTGGATTTGTGTGATTAATATTAAATTGATAAAATAAAAATGATTTAGAGTCACACAATCTTTACCAAATTTAGTATGGGACAATCTTAATGAGACTTCCCGAAAAGGTAAAATGAGACAATCTTAGCAGGACGGAGAGAGTATCAAATGCAAGTGTACCTGCACTTAGTTGGTTATAGACAAATTCCGGTTGTTTATCCTTTCTTCCAAAAAAAGTCTGACCATATTTTGGAAAACCCAGATCAAGTTAGGTCAGTTCTTAGGTGCAAGTTCTGATCCAGAACCAAAATAACATGTCAGTAGTTCAGGATTTTAGCTGACGAGTCCCAGCCCAATTCCCGAACCAGATCCACCTACAGCTATCTTATTATGCAAATAATCAACACTTTCAAATCTTTATGTTTGCAGACACTTCTGTAGAGTGTTTAGGAAAAATGACCTCTAGTTTTGTTCATTCTATATACTAATATACAACACCAAAGTTTTGATGATATAATAATGTCTCCCAAGATCCCACACAAAGCATTAACGGGTAACCATACTTTGTCATATTACACAATACACAAGCACGTGATAATACTAACATAGGCAGCAACGACTACATCAATAATATGATCGGCACTAAGACTACCAGTAGCTCATTCATTTCTTCTGCGTTTCTTTGCAAGATTCTCAAAGATTTGGTGGACATCAGCAGAAGTAACCGCCTTTGATGGATCAAAAGACCCCTGAAGATCAAATAGCCAAAAAGAGTTTGAACATTCTTACAAGAGAGAGAAAGGTATATCAAGTAAAACACACAATAAAAATCCAGGGAGTAAATAGCACACCAGGAAAGAATGAAACTCATTCTTAAAGTCAGCAATTCCAGACAAGATCTCCATTTTCTCAATATGGCCAAGTTTGTTTAGAAAGTCAGAGCTCTGCTGCTCCTTCAATATCTCTCTTTTTTGCTTTGCCATTGCCTCATACTCTGCAATTGTGTCCTCTTTGTCAAGCAAGAAGCCAACTCCTTTCTGGTTGTAAAACTCCACACATTTAGGGCACCTGCAAAGTATTTCTCTCCAGTTTTTGCAGAGGAATATCGATTTACTTTCCTCTAAGTTAGCAACAGCTTCACTCAAGTTCAACCCAAGAATGCATTTCTGGATAGCACCATTAAGTTTATTATTCACCGGAGTTTCCACTGAAGAACTTGCAACGTTAGTCTCCTCTAAAGATCCTAAAGATAGGGGAAGATTCTCAGCCACTTCTTTATCCTTCATAGAACTTGTTGCATCTTTCTGGGAGACAGATGCAAAGACTGTCGGAGGATACAACATTAGAAAAGCACAAACATGTGCACACCCCTGGCATATTAAATCCTCATAAACCGGATCACCTTCTTCGTCTCTCGGAATCTGTTAATAGATCAGAAAACAATTAGCAGAGGTAAAAAAATACAAAGTAATTAGCCTGAAGAAAGATAACAACCATGTCAGATGACTGAAGACCAAGATGTTGTTCATGAAACCAGTCCTCACAGACACAACACTGGATCATTTCTTCTTGTTCTTCAGCATCCGGATCAGGGAATGGACGCTCACACATGCAGTATAGACCCCTGAAATTATGGTTGTACAAGTTCTTTGGATTTTCTAAATCTTTGCTCGGCAGAAGCTTACAGTAGAATTCTCCAAATTTTGAATTTCCACAATCACACCTAAAGTTTCTCTTGGTCCAGAGCTCAACAATCTACTTCAAGCAGCAATTGGCATAGCATAAGGGAAGGTTTGTCAATATTATCATACTTAATAGTTTAAGAAAAAACATGCAAGGCAAACATTTAGAGTAAATGATATAATAAGAACAGGAAAAGCAGTGACGCTGGTTAGAAAGAAAGCCTGGCAGTTACAGTTTATCATTCAGTCAAAATATTGGTATGGGATCAAAGTTCTACCACAGGGAAAAAATTGTTTGCAATTCATCAAACAATTAGAATCAGAACATGAATGCAGCACGGCTAATAGTAGTTGTTATGGGTTTCGTAGAGAGATGAAAAGAAGAACAATCAAATCAATAGAAATGAATAGCTACTCCACTCTAGGCAAGAGAAGGTGGCGTCCAACCTTGTCAAGACTCCAAAATAGAAGTGGCACCTCTATTTATACTAGTTCCAAGAGTCTTGGTAGTATAGTTTTCGAGTAACCCTAACCTATTACAATACTGCTACTAGAAATATTAACTAAAATAAATTCCATGTACTAATAGGGACTACTACAGCTACTAACATTAGGAAAGTAATACTAATACTTATAAAGGAAACTAATCATATTAATAGTAATAATAATAAAGAATGTTTATATCACTAATCATCATTACCCTAGTGCCACAAAGGCTCCCACCTACTGTGGGGTAAGGGGGTCAGATGTACGCAGTCTTACCCCTGTACTAAAGCATAGAGAGACTGTTTCTGGATGACCCATACGTGAGTCACTAATAAATGCATAAAATCAAATACAGATTAGTCGAAGATAATCCCAGTGATGATGATGGAACAAAAAAAAACTGAGTGGTAAAAGCAAGAGCAAAACCATAAATCTTAGTGAGAATGCTCAAGTAATCACATCTAAATGACATACAAGTCCATAAACAGATATGCAATAATGAAAGAATTTATGCATAGATATGAAGTACCAAATACATATCAAATAAATAAAAATATAAAAATGAGTAAAAGTGTGTTTTAAATATAAAAAATGAATGCTATGGCACTTACTTTAACAATTTACTAAATGAACGGTTATTCATAGGGAAAATATTACCTCGTGACCATCATGACATGACAAACTACAGGCAGTGCAAACCCCAGCATTCCCATCTGGAGTGCATGTCAAACAAGAGAAAACAGCCTGTCTTTTCATATAGCCATTATTATATGTGCATTCCTTTCCCTCATCGCCACCCAAAACCAAATCTGCTTCCTTTTCAATTGAAAGGATTAAAACCCCCATAAATAAGTCCAGTCAAATACAGCAGGAACATTTATAAATTGAACTTCCAAGAAACATAAATTAGCATCATTGTAATCCATCACAATCAATTAGAGTGCCCTGAAACTATTAAAAGTATACCATAACATTTCCGGCACCAACAGACTTCTATTTACAACTATAGCAATACAAAGACTTGCAAATACAGTTTGTGATGTATTTAGCAAAATCGTCACATGAGGGGGTGATATGAGATATTAGTGGATTCTCAAAATACAAAATAATCAATAATATAATTCTGTCATCTCAGCTAACAGTAAATGAATTTAGTTTTGGGTTCAAAGTTTAGCTGTGCCCTAAGCTTAAAGGATGGACTTCTTAAGTCTGCCATCAACATTGTTTTGGAAATCATACGAAAAGTATAACCCTAATTTGTTTTCTCCATAAAGTGCAAATGCGCCAATCACGCCAATGACTATTTTCAAGAACGCTTAATAATCATGCATGGCAAAGAGAACCTGAAAGGTCAAACTCCGTAGAAAACATCGAGACAGAATAAAGAAAGCACTTCAAAATGAATCCTAACCAGTTCCCGTTCTTCGACATCCTTAAGGTACTCTCCTATTGAAATCGTAGGTTCGGATTCTTCTTCAAATGCATCGGTCATGACCACTGGCGATGCCCTAGAAAGGGAGTAAAAGAGGAAATGAGGAGTTAATTTGACGCATTTTATAACGAAAATATACTAAATACATACATAATATGTTCTGTTGTTGGTGAAATTAACCTAAACGTAAAAAGATTAAGAAAACAGATTGCAGGTTCAAGCTGGAAAATGGTTGTGAAAAGTGAAAACCCTAAGCAATTAGCAATCGAAGTTGGGGAAATGGGGATACCAGAGACGGGCTTTATACAAAGGAGCAACTCAGCTGGAGATAATTTCCCGCCAAAGTGAGCTTGATAAACACTTGAAGAATTTGTGGGCCCAGAATATATAAGGTAAATAATGTGTGATCGAGGGTCGTGCAAACTGCAAAGTAGAAAAAACAAAATTTAATTATAAATATTGATTAAAAGATAAAGTGATAAATTTTTTAGACAATTAAAAAAAGGAAAGATTTTATTTTAAAAGAATCTAAAATAAAGGAGTTTAATCTAATTTATACTCCCATATTCTTTTTCAGGATATTACAAGTTTTCTTTTCATTTCTTTCATAGAAATGATTTGTGTGTTTAACATTCTTTCCACTTTTTCTACACAATCACATATTTTTGATTCATTGGTGAGTGTGTCAATTTCATGTGGGAAGGAAATAACTAGATGAGGGCACTACCGGGGTGGAGTCATGAGGGAGGGGATCAACTCACTCCATAAAATTCAAACATGTAGAAAATTGAAATACATTCAATTGAAATATCGTGACTCTTGTAAGTCATTACGTGTCAAAAGTTATGAGTCCTATAAAATCAACACCATCTATATTTGGGACAGATAAAATTTGATGCGTAAGAGTACATGTATTCCCAAGTTTTAAAAACATTGCTTTAACTTATTAGCTGCGAAAACTTTTTTATGTATTTCATACATATCAAATCAATAAATCTCCATGTCTCATTTAAACTAACATCTATCCATCCAAATATGAACTATTCAACTTCAGTTTTGTCTTAAAACAATTTAATCTTTTAATATTGCCAAGAATGTCAACAACAACAACAAACTCTCAAGCAATTTTGGGGTCGGCTAACATCGTTCCATGATATCACCGTCAAAATGAGAAGAAATATAATGAAAAACAAGGCAAGATAAAGATAAATTATAAGATGTTGCACAGACAAAAGACGACGGACGACGAACAACGCATCTGAGGAGATAAGAGGGCTGGTGGTCAAAAATAAATAATAAGAATCCATAGATAAGGGGTGAAGAGGACTACAAATTAATAATCAACGTGGAAAACAACCAACTTAATGACGTCCATGTAAGCAACCAAGTCATCATGTAACGGGCTAACCGGTTGGTGACCTTTCAAATAACACATTTGGTTGTTTTTTGAGACTTCGTGGACTTTAATGAGCAATGTCAGAGTAGGAGAGTTTAATTGACTTTTCGTACAGAGTAGATGAGCTTATTTGGCAGTTTTCCCTAAATAGATTTTAGGAGAATTTGACTTTGCAATCAGTTTTTAGATGATATTGAACATTACACTCTATTTTAAAACACTTTGATTTTGCACTGGATTCCATTTAAACCTCTTTTGAGTTTGCACTACATTGGTGAATGAGGTATTTACCTAAATAGGAGTAAATCAATTTGTAATTGCCAAAATAGGACAAAAGTCTAAAAATCTCCTAAATAGGACTAATAATATGTAGTTGGACAAAAACGCCATTGATGCTTGGAAGTGATACTGCTGGGACCAGAACACAGGACCACTGCCTCTCGCCGGTCGCCGCCCCGCCGCCGGGTTCCTGTCACCGCTGGCAGCCACCGGCCGTCGCCATCGCCTCAAAACTGATTGTCGTAGTAGATCCGAAAACAGCCGTTACAGATCTGACCAGTGCAAGTACAGATCTGACCACCTTCGACGTAGATCTGGCCATCGCTGACAGCCAGCCATGTAGATTCGACCGTTGTCACCGCAAATCCGTCCTCCGCCGTTATAGATCCAGCGTCAGCCGGTGCAGATCCAGCCTTCGCCGCCGCCAATGCCAACATTTTAGTTAGAATGCCAAACACGGATTGAGAATGCCATCTTAATGGCATTTTGAATGGAAAATGCGAAATTTTGGAAGAGTTCGAATACCATTTTGATGACATTTTCAGATATAACTTGGCATTTTGAACAAACAAAAAGAAACAGAGCGTCTCAATGTTTTCAAATAGCACATGCACTAGAGAAGAAAGAACCAAGAAGAGGAGAAGAAATATGAGCAAAGGTTCGTGGCTATGCACCTCGAAGCCCCCCCGTTCGCGGAAGGCCGTTCACTGCTGATCGTTGCCATATTGATGTCATTTTCGCGGATGACCGTTCACGGCGGTGGACTTCACGACGATGGCGATGGACTTCGCGACGTCGGCAACAATGACTATCACTGGGCTTCTAGGTTCGTGTTCCTATGTGAAGTGGAAGGAGAAGAAGATGTGCAGGTGTGCAGGGGAGGGATAAAGGAAATGCGCAGGGGAGATGATGCTATGATGTGGTTTAGGGAAATCAAATTAAAGAAGAAGAAAAATAAGGGCAAATGGGTAATCTTGTCTTATTTGAGGAATAAAAATTTACATAGTCATATTTAGGAATTTTAGGAACAATTTAGTCCCATTTGAGACAAAAAAATCTTAGTGAATTTTTCTTTACAAAATGTTATGCACTTAAATTGAAAGTTTTTTGAAAATAGGTTTGGAAAACGTGCATCTTCATAATTCATACTATCGTATACGGGTATGTCATATTGGAGTGAATTTTCTTTTAAAAAATGGGTAATCTTATCTTATTTGGGGAATAAAAATTTACATAGTCATATTAAGAACCTATTTGGCAGCACGAAAATCGGCTGTTTTGGCTGATTCTGCTGAAATTTATGAAGTTCTGGCTGAAATGGCTGCATTGGCTGATTCTGCTGATACAAGAAAAAAATATTTTTAAAATATATTTTATTAATAAAATAAAGAAAAAATTAGATGTAAAAATAGCTAAAATGATTATATACACTAACTTCAGCCAATACAGCCAGAAAAATAACTCCAACCTTATTTTTTCGACTTATTACACAATTCAGTACGCGAAAGCAAAGTTTACGTGTTTGGTAAAAAAATTGGCTGATAAGCCTAAAAAAGTTGCCAAACGGCCTCTAAGTATAGCTTAATAGGAACAATTTTGTCCATGTGAGGCAAAAAAAGTCTGAGTGAATTTTCGTATATACTTCGGAGTGAATTTTCGTCATTAACCGATTAACCGCACGTGGTCCATTATTCGCAAGTCAGGATCTTCATAGAGACCGTATTAGCATTTGTACACATTAGACGGAGTGAGGACGGAGAGATCACAATGGCGCAGAACAGGTTTATAGTTGAGGTCGAACCGGCGAAGGAAGCCAAGGATGGAAGACCGTCGGTTGGACCCGTCTACCGTAGCGTGTTCGCAAAAGATGGATTTCCAGCACCTATCGATGGTTTGGATAGCTGTTGGGACATTTTCCGGTCAGTTTTTTTCGCCTTTTCAGTTCTTGATTCATATGGAATTAAAACTCTCTCCCCCTTTTTGCGATTGCATTGAGGTCTAGGAGGAAGTTTGTGGAACACCTTTTATCAAATGCGAGTTAAAGCTTCAATCTTGTTCATGGAATTAAAACTTACATGGGTGTCTATGTACTATTCTGGAAAATTGGCATATAATGGATATGAATTTGTTTTTCTGCTGACGGTTTATCGTTATAGGTATCATATGAATGAATATACTCTGATGATAAGTTTGTCTTCTTCTTCTGGTAACAACCATGGGCCAAATATTAAGTTGCATTATTTTGATGGATCAAATCGGTCTCCTTTCATAGTTGTCTAACTTTTGAGAATGCAACAAAAAATGCAGCCTTAACTGTATTTTTGGTAACAATGTTTTAGGTTTCGACTAATGCATTAATTCTAAGATGCTCCCTCAAGTTTTACTTTTTATGGAAATATTTTATATTTACAGGAAAGCGGTACTTATTTTCGTATATTATTTTTATTTCAGTTTTTTTGAAGTACCTTTTTAAGTCTATAATACACAATACACGTCTTTTGATGATTTTTTGCAACTGTAGAAGTACCTCATTTTATTTTATCCTTTCCACAGTTTATCTGTAGAAAAGTATCCCAACAACAGAATGCTTGGTCGCCGGGAGATAGTGGACGGAAAAGTAAGCCTACTCCACCATACATGCTATGTTTAAATTTTAAAACTTCAGAACCTGCAAGGTGCAACTTTGTTTATGAGTATTTAGTTTTACCCTTTTTCTGATCATTGGAAATTTGGAATTGTTTGTCTCACCAACAGGCTGGAAAATATGCATGGATGACTTACAAAGAAGTATATGATGTAGTGATGAAAGTTGGAAACTCACTTCGTAGCTGTGGTGTTGAAGAAGTAAGTAATATTTTTTATTTATTTAAGTGAACTCAGATGCTTTATACAAAAACTGAGGTAAACCATAATGTTTAAACATTTCAGCATTTGATCTGTTGCATTTACATTCAATTGCTTAATGTGGTGTATTATATACTTTGCCTATGGCGCCTATGAAGTATGAACATCCCATTTCTGCTGTTCACAATTCCACATTCAACATGTTCACTTAACTGAAAATGGATAATGTTCTATTAGGTATTCATACACTTGCATAGTTCTATCAGTTGATTTCTTATTGTTATGCAGTACATTTCTTGCATTATTGCCAATATATGTTTCATATTGGTTCTCACCACCCGATAATATAACTTTCGGTCTTAGGGAGGAAAGTGTGGTATATATGGTGCCAACTGCCCAGAGTGGATCATAAGCATGGAGGTAAGTGTTTTGACTTATCTCTTTCTTGTTCATCTTAGTCTATGATTGTGCTTTAATAACTCACTAGCATTGTCACCCGTGCATTGCACGGGTTGATTGTTCTTATTTGTTTATATTGCTTTCATACAAATAGTCTCCATGATTTCTCTTCACTTATATATTTTTGTCCAGCATTGTAATTATGATTGTAATAATGATGATGATGATTATTGTAATTATTTTTGTGTAACATTATTACAAATTTAGTCAAATAGTTAATCTTTCTATGGGTTGACTACTAAAGACATTTATTGAGACATACAAAAATGTTCAAAAAACATTTATTGAAACTTCTGGGGCCATACAAAGATATTCAAAAAACAGCTGATAAAAAGAGAAAAAATTAATTAAAAGAGTCTAATGTACCCCCAGCCAGCCATGTTAGAAGACAGGAAAACAACTTACAGTTCCCAGCTTCTCCTGCCATTTTATAGACATCGATCATGACTCATGAGAATGCTAAACCTTTATGAGCTTGCTTTATCCAAAGTCTCCAACTTTCAAATGATGTGCAATCGAGTTAACCGTAAGCACGTTCCTGGAAAGCCAACCAAACTCAAAGAGTCTGCTATTCCGAGGAAACATTGAAATGGAACAGGAAGACAAAATGATGCCAATAGACCTGCTCTCGTATAACCTTCATCTACTCCAAGCTTTTAGACATTTTCTTTAGAGCGTGATATTGTAAGAGGAAATTTGAGAGGGAAAAAAATATTGTGAAGGACTCTGGTAAGTACAACCAAAGTAAATATGGGTTCTCCGAGTTAAACACAAACACTTTGAAGTTGCAAGATACAAAAATGCTTAGAACTTATTTTTTCAAAATAATAATAAAAATTAGTCAGAAGCTGAGAAGATTGATTAAAAGGTCTCATTAAAATTCAGAAGTGCATAGCAAATCACCTTACATGGTCACTTATTTTATGAAATTTTGACCATTCAACTATCATACTTGTGTATGGCTTTGGAGAGGGCAAAGTGGAGGGCGCACATTCGTGTGGACGAGTGATCTCTTTTCTATCATTTCACTCTCTTTTTCTTTTATCGTTTATCTTCTTTATCTTTTTATGCTCTTATGTCATTTTTATCTTTTAGCTTCTTTATGCTCTTTTATCTTTTTATCTTTTATCTTTTTATATTCTTATGTTATTGTTATCTTATATTTATTTATCTTTATCTTATTCGTTTTATCTTTTTTTCTTGTCTGTCTTCTCTTTTTGGCATCGATATCATGGATCGATTCATGTTAGCCGACCCCAAAATCTTTTGGGATTAAGGCTTGGATGTTGTTGCTGTTGTTGTTGTTGTTGTTGTAACTATCATACTTGTGGAGTTTCTCTAAACAATTAAAATGTGGACTAAATTACACCGTTGGACCTTTTACTACTGTGGCATTTGTTCAATTTATCTTCCATTTTAGCCGTCTAATACAGAGTATAAAAGCATTTTGCAATTACTCCAAAAGTCCTCATTTTCTATCATTGTATCTTTTATAGGGCTTGTAAAGTGTTACTGTATTTTCTTTTTCATTATTATATACTGTATGTTGTGGCAAATAAATAATTTAAATAAAGACTATCCGGGCTAACACGTAAGAAATAACTTGGATGAGAGGTGTAACAACATGGTAGTATCTTTAACATAATAATACACTGTTAATGCCTTAATATAGTTAGCTTATTTAGAAAAAGAAATAGAGAAGCAAGGTACTAATTAAGGGAGTGTAAAAAAGATCTAAAATTTCGTTTATATTATATAAGCAAATTGATTACATATAGCTCTGTCAATTTTTCAGTAACTATAGCTTTGTCAATATTTTAATAACTATAGTTATTAAAAATATTGAAATGGATATGTAGTTTATAAATACAACTCAAGAAACATGATAAACTAAACATTGATTTTTCAGAAAGAATGAGAAAGAGAAACTCTTTAGCCTCTAATTTAGGAAACTGACTCTACAAATCTTTACTTTGGACCAAGCAATTGAATAGTAAGAATCAAAGAATCAGAAAATAGAAACTCTTTAAGCTAGAAGTTAAGAATAAAAAAACAGAAACTCTTTACACTCTCAAGAAATTTACTTTGAAAATTGATTATAAAAATTAGAAACCCCCTCCACAAAATTGTAAGAATAAATGATATTTTGTATAAGAATATGTGCAAACTGAGAATTTATTATAAACAGGTATAGAATAGTACATAAATGAAATAAAGGAGAAGGATTCAACTATATGAGTGTAAAAGGGATCTAAAACTTAATTGAGATTATTAATACAACCTTATTGATTATGTATGGCTCTGTCAATTTTAATAGAAGTATAGAACTCGAAATTTCAAGTCGATTCTTGGAAGCAAATGTAACTCTCAATCTGGCCAGTCAAACAGAAAACTGTGGAAATAAAACTTGAACCTTACACAAATGCATTAATGATCTATTGGTAGATAAAATCATTGGTCAAAACAACCTTTCTCCCATTCATTTCAGTTTTTAGTAGATGGGTATCTTGGAAAGAAAAATATTTTCCTTTAACTTATCACATGTCTGCATCCTAAAGAGCAAAGTTGTGGCAGAGTTAGTGAAAGCTGTCCATTCACTATCCACTCATTCCCTGTAAAACTTTTTTTCCTAGGAAAAGGTAAAGAAATTACTGTAATGATAAGAAAGTATTGCTAGAACATACAAAAAATTGTGATGGTGAATAAGATAGCAAGCAGTTCTTCAAAATTCTCATTGATAACAAATGGACAGTCATAGAGAAAGGTTGGAAATTCTCGAATAGAAACATGCATACTCACTGTATTAATAACCGTGGTTAGCCTCATTACAATGCATCCTCACAGAACCTGATGTGTAATGGTTTTACAGGTGATATAGCATCATCCATGTAATATATAAAAGAAACCACTGAAGAGGGGGCCAGAACAGACAAAACAATAACAATTGATATCCCTTGAAATTCCTGCATTGCATGCATAAATCGTAGTGCTAATTTGCTCTCATGTGTTTAGTCATAACAGCTCACAGTCAATCTCACCCAAATAACTTGATTTTGATTCAAAATCATAAGGAATAAGTTCAGCCCATTGCAATCATATTTTGGAAAAAAGCTTATAATCACAAATTCACAATTGTTGGGAGAGCGGTAGATTTACTTGACGAGACTTGGAAGCGGTGGATTTAGTTGATGAGAATCAGACGGATCACGGATGTTAGAGTAAGTTGTGGTGAACGGGAATTTCATTTGTGGAATTGTAGTGCTATTAAGGGGAGGATTGGCACATTGTGAAATGAAACACCAACATATGTATATAGGGAGTTAAGTAATCACTTCGATGCCCACCCTGTCTTAAGTTTTCAATCATCACCCTGTCTGACTCTAAAATATGATTGCAGGCATGTAATGCGCATGGACTTTATTGTGTTCCTCTATATGACACCTTAGGTATGTTAGACTTCTTGTTGGTGCCTAACTTGAGGAAATATATGACACCTTATTTATGTTACATTTTGTGTCTACCAGCAATGTACAATCAAGGGGCCAACTTGATTGGGTCCATAAGTTAGCTGTAGTTATTTTATTCATTTAATTAGCTTTCCTTATTTTAGTCAAATCTAGTTATCATGAGCTTATAATAATCCAGTTCTCTTTTGTGTTGTTGTTTTAGGACTTGTCTTTTTTCTATACAAGTCTTATCAGTTAGAATATATTATTTAGCAAATCGAGTAATGATTTCTCTAGATCTAATACCAGGATCTTTAATAGAACTAGGACATTCATTTGGCATAAGCTTTGTTTGTTCACATTTGGCATAGGCTGATTAAAAAATATAGCTTCTTAGAGGATGGCAGGACTTACATTGTGGCCTTGTGGGTTTTAAGACAGCTTCATCACTTCATGCCTTGAATCCTTGATAAGGGCGATATTCTGTTATTGCAAAATACTTGTATATATTTCTCATAGTTGCTTCTGTCGTTGTCATTTAGGTGTTGGTGCTGTGGAGTTTATCATCACCCATGCAGAGATTACAGTAGCTTTTGCTGAAGAGAAAAAAATCCCTGAGGTGCCATTGAAGCATATATGTATTTAAATATGTTCTGTTACGATTTGAGCTATCTAGAATACTATACACAAATTTTCTATTTGTTTTATAGAACCTAGGTGCAGCTCCTTAGGTATTTGCCATCATATTAAAAAAATTGCCATCACATTGTCTCATATTTTTTTGGGTTGTATTAATGAAAGCCCCCCATCCAACAACACTCATTGTAATATTGTATCACAGTCCCACTACACACATAAAAGAATTGCCCACGAAACTGATGGTGTGTTCACTTGGATTAAAAATGGAAAAAGTGAAAGTGTTCATTTGAAAAATGGTTTTTCCAAAACTAAGAGTTTGATGGAGTTGTGAATAAATGACTTCTTCATTTCCGTAAAACATGGGTAAATATTACCACATGTACGGTTATGGGGAAATATATAATTACAGTTAAATATAGAAGTATACAAATTTAGAAATACAAGTATGCAACCATCACTGCACCATGTGTAAATTAGTGCATTCTGTAGAGTATTGATCGGGATGTCCTAAACAAGTCCCTTCACTGTGGTGTTGGATTGTTGGTGTACAGTATTTCTTGTTGATGCTTCCATTTGTTTTTACATGATCACTAATAGTGGCTGCTTCAGATGGAATAAAGCAAAATGGCTCACTAAACTGTCTGCGCTTCTTTGTTATGAAGTAACAGTCATCTATGCAATTTTTGACGCGATTTTCACTATGGGTCATTTGGAAACAGTCTCTCTGTACTTTGCTTTAGTACAAGGGTAAGACTGCGTACATCCGACCCCCCTTACCCCACCTAGGTTGGAGCCTTTGGGGCACTGGGGTAATGATGATGATGATGATGATGATGACTAATAGTGGCTGCTTCAGAAGTTATAGTTGATTTTTACGTGAATCTTGAGGGGCTGCTCTTTATAAAGTTTACATGGCTTCATTTCAGTCAGAAGCTTCTGACTAATATTTAATAATTGTTTCCATTTCAGCTGTTGAAAACTTTTCCTAATGCCACTAAGCATTTGAAATGTAAGTCACCTATACATGCATTATCAAGTTTCTTCTTGAAGGGTATGCAAGATTAAGAAATAATATTTTGTTTGTTATCAGCGGTTGTGAGTTTCGGGAAAGTAAGTCCCAAACAGAAGGAAGAGTTTGAAAAGTTTGGTGTGGTGACATACTCGTGGGAGGAGTTTTTGTTACTGGTACGTCTTTCAAATTATCTTAAATGTTCTCATTTAATTTAATATTATACATTCTCTTGACTATTAATCTGGATTCCATCTTTGTTTTACTAACAGGGATTAATTTTCATTTCTGTTGGTAGCTGTTATAGTACTATGCTAGTTATTCATTTTTTGTGTGGTCTTAAACATAAACCTCTCCCTATGCACAGGGCAATGATAAACACTTCGATCTTCCTTTGAAAAAGAAAACAGACATATGTACGATAATGTATACTAGTGGAACAACTGGAGATCCAAAGGGAGTCTTGATATCCAATAATAGCATTGTTACACTTATAGCTGGAGTGAAGCGTCTGCTAGAGGGTGCAGATGAATCGGTAATTAGATATCTACTTTAATTATTTCAGTTTCATGTTGTGAAACACAGTCAGATTGAATGTATAGGAAGACCCAGAGGGCCGCATGGCTTCTCTTTTTGTCTCTCTCCTTGCCAATGATTGGATTCTGACATTATTGTACAGTTGACAGAGAATGATGTTTATCTTTCTTTTCTTCCACTGGCCCATATCTTTGATCGGGTGATTGAAGAGTGTTTCATCAATCATGGTGCTTCAATAGGATTTTGGCGTGGGGTAAGTTGTTATTACACTTTTTCAGTCAAATAAGAGTCTATTTACCATGACTGTTTTTTTCTGTTAATATGTAGGATGTCAAGTTACTGGTCGAAGACATTGCAGAGCTGAAACCCACTATATTCTGTGCTGTTCCCCGGGTGTTGGAAAGAATCTACTCAGGTGCGCTGATTTCTCTTATGCTTACAAACTTTTAATATTATTTGCATTCTTACATGTGATTTTATTAATGACGGGATCACTGGACTATGTGACCCTGAAGTCCTTAACATGGTCTAGGAAAGACGGACTATGTAACATAAGTTATCACTTTAGTCTAAAGTCATTACTTCAAAATAATTGTACCTGCATTTATTTTATTATAAAAGAAGCATCAATTTTTTAAATCTTTCTTAAATATCAATTTCTTATGGAAGAGCAGGATTGCATGTTTCAGTGTCTTGGCTCTCTTCCCAATCTTTTCTGGAATAATGTTTTGTTTGACTTACATTTATCGTATCCGTATATACTCTCAGGTCTGCAACAAAAAATTTCAGCAGGAGGTTTCGTGAAAAACACTATGTTCAATTTTGCATACGCCTTGTGAGTTTTATTTATTTATTTATTTTTTATATTTCTATTTTCAATCGGATAAAATAGAGAGCTGTCATGCCCAAGAAGAGTGTGGACCAGTGTTCCTGGGGTTGTAGACTTACTTTCTAGATACCTTTTTTCTAACTCTTCTGAATATTTATTGCCAGATGAAAGTTATCAATTATGTCATGAGATAATGCTATTCATGTATATGAGAAAATAGTAGATTTAGGTCATCAATTTTTAGTGTCACCACTCTTAGTTCCTAAGTTATCCTTAAACTGGTGATCGTAGTTTTTTAGTCCGTCATATTTTTTATTGTAGTATACTAGTATATTCTTTTAAGTTTTAACCAGCGACTTAACTCTCTTTTGAACTTTTGCATGTGAGAAATCAACTTCCCATGATGTAATACATTCTTATGAAATTAATATTCTGTAGTGTAAATTGATTCCTTTTCTATAGTGTACATTCTATTTTTTGACGATTTAATTCTTCATATCTTTTTGCGTTCACTCTTCAAAAGTAGCAATAAGTCTTCTAAAAATGTAAATCTTATTAGCGATTTATTGTTTGGTAACAATATTTTTGAATTATCTTTGTATCCTAAAACATTAGATATTTAGACGTTAAAATTTTGGAAATAAATTGACGTTATTTTCTAAAGATGGACTTCAAACCCTACTTTAATCTATATAGTATTTACTAAATATATATCAAGAGTTCTGCTCATCTCTTGTAGATAGGAGAGGATACGAGAGATAGAGAGATAGAGGCTCTTCATTATTTATCATTCATTTATTATCCAATCAAACAGAAGGAACGGGATATAAATACTAAGACAGGTAGCAGCGATTCAGCACTAATAGTTCTGATAATTACAATACTACCCCTCCATGCTAAATAAAGTAAACAAATAAGGAAAACTAAAACTCAGGAATCTTCACTCCCCTCAAGTTGGATATGGATATCAATCATATCCAGCTTGCTCTTCATATTTTCAAATTTGTTCTTTGGAAGGGCCTTGGTGAGAATGTCGGCCACCTGAAAGTCTGTTGGAATATGCGATAGCTCTAGAATTCCAGATTCTAACTTTTCTCTTATAAAGTGTCGATCAATCTCCACATGATTAGTGCGATCATGATAGCGTCATCTTATTGTCACAAAATAGCGTCATCTTTCTGTTATTCTGAATGTTTAGTTCTTTCAGCATTCTTCCTAACCATATTCCTTCACATATTCCTTGACACATTGCAAGGAATTCAGCCTCAACACTACTTCTAGTCACCACAATTGCTTCTTACTACGCCAAGTGACCAGATTACCCCACACAAATGTGCAATAACCTGTGGTGGACCTTCCATCTACACAAGATCCTCCCCAGTCCGCATCTGTGTAAATGTTTACTCCTCTTTCACTGGTTTTTTTGAAGTAGAGCCCATATCCTGGTTTTTTTAAGTAGTGAAGAATCTGAATTACTGCTTCCATATGGCGAATTGTGGGAGTGTTCATGAACCTGCTCACCATACCAACAGCAAACCCGATATCGGGTCTTGTGTGTGCAAGGTAGATTAACTTGCCCACAAGTCTTTGATATCTTCCCTTGTCTACCAGCTCATCTTCGGTTTCTGTTCGAAATTTAATTCCTGGTTCCATTGGCACACTTGCTGTTTTGCAAGCCAATAACCCAGTCTCTTTCAAGAGATCAAGAGTATACTTCCTTGGTGATACAGAAATGCCCTTTCCAGACCTTGCAATTTCCATACCAAGGAAATATTTAAGTTGACCAAGATCTTTTATTTCGAATTGTCTTCCCAAGACGAGTTTCAGATCTTTAATCTGCTGTGAGTAGTCTCCCGTTATAATGATATCGTCCACATAGACAATCATAATTGCAACTCGTCCATCACGGGAGTGTTTCGTGAACATCGTGTGATCAGTTTGCCCTTGAATGAATCCGTATCGCTTGACCACTTGTGTCAGCTTTTCAAACCATGCTCGTGGTGACTGCTTCAGGCCGTATAGGGTTTTTCTAAGTCTGCACGCTTCAGGCCGTATAGGGTTTTTCTAAGTCTGCACACCATTCCTTTGTTTTCTTGAGACTCCAGTCCCGGTGGAACATCCATGTAAACTTCTTCCTCTAGTTCCCCATTTAAGAATGCGTTCTTCACATCGAGTTGATGCAACGGCCAGTCAAGGTTTACATCAAGGGAAAGTAATACCCGAATGGAATTTAGATTTGCAACAAGTGCAAAGTTCCTGGTGGAAGGAGAGTAGCACTTATAACCACGCCGGTTCGGGGAATATCCCAGAAAGACACATTTGAATGACCTAGGATCTAGTTTGCTACGATTTGGCTGATGATTATGAACGAATGAGGTGCAACCAAATATTTTCAGTTGTAACTGGGACAAAATTCGAATGTGAGGGGAGATAGTCTGTAGAAATTGGTGTGGAGTTTTGAATTCAATGACTCAGGAAGGCATCCTATCGATAAGGTATGCGGCAGTTAACACAGCTTCTCCTCAAAAATGATTTGGAACAAAACTAGATAGTAGTAACGAACGTGTTACCTCTAGCAGATGTCTGTTTTTCCTTTCTGCAACACCGTTTTGTTGTGGGGTGTCAACTGTCAGTCAACACAGGATGTGAGATGGACAATTCCCTGCTGAGTAAGGTAGTTGGCCAACTCAGAGTAAAAGTATTCCTTTGCATAATCATATTTGAGAACTTGAATTTTTGTTGCAAATTGGTTTTGTATCATCTGATGAAAACACTGGAAAATTAACCCAACTTCAGATTTGTCCTTCATCAGAAAGACCCAAGTAACACGAGTATGGTCATCTATAAAAGTAACAAACCACCTCTCTCACCAGAGATATTTTTCACTCTGGAGGGGCCCCAAACATCACTTTGAATTAAGAATAATACTAAAGGTACCCCAAAATTGTACCCCATTTTTACCCCACCCCTAATTGTGTGGCCATGAATGGGTCAACTCATTTAAGTGGTGTCTCACTTAAATGAGTTGCCTCATTTATGGCCACACAATAGGGATGAGGTAAAAATGGGGTACAAATTTGGGGTACCTTTAGCATAGCTCTTGAATTAAATAGAATGGATGAGAGGATTTATATGGGAGTGGAGTATAAGAATGTCTAACATGCTTGGATAATTGACACACTTCACAATTGTATTCATTCGAGCTTTTAATCAATAAATGAGGAAACAACTTTTTTAAGTAATGAAAATTTGGATGACCCAACCTATGATGCCATAAAAACACATTATTTTTACTAGAAACATGAAATAATGATGAAACTTGATGTTTTCCCGAATGCTCGGCTTCCATGTAGTAGAGCTCATCACATACTTTAGCACTGCCAATCATCTTCCCTGAACTCAAGGCCTTAAACATGCATGCAGATGGGGTTAAGATAGTAATGGAATTTAGATCCCTCATTAGTTTAATAGGAGCCAACAAATTGAAATCAAGATTGAGAACATATAACACAGATTTCAGTGTTATATTCTTGGATATGACAACTGTACCAATACCCGCCACTTGTGCACCTTCTCCAGTAGCAACTTGTATGGTTCTTCCATTCGGTACAGGTTGGAATTCAGAAAGCATATTCCTATCCCCGGTCATGTGATCAGTAGCACCACAATCAACAACCCAAGGTTTTTCACCGGATGCACTTGCTACAAATGCAGATGAGACTCCACTTTGTTGGGTAACAACTGCAATCCATTTGTCTTCATGGGGTGTGATTTGCAACATCTTCCGAAGAGCTTGTATCTGTTCCTTGCTAAAAACCTCCTGGATTTCACTAGTTGCTAACATTTACACGCGCATTAGGTTTCCACTCAGATGGTTTTCCATGAATTTTCCAGCAGGTTTTTTTGGTATGACCAGGTCATTTGCAATGATCACACCAGGGTCGACCATTTTTTCCGTGGGATATTCCAGAGGCCACTGAAAATTTCATACTAGATGGAGCACGAGTTGCAAGAACCGATCCCTCATTAGTAATATTGCCGATATTTCCAAGCATAACCCTTCTTCGACTTTCTTCACGACAAACTTCTGAAAAGACTTCTCTGAGGCTAGGCATAGGTTAAGTACCAAGAATTCTTCCTTGGACCTCATCAAGTTCTTGGTTTAGTCCAAGAAGAAATTTATAAATCCTTTCCGTTTCCACCAACCGCTTGTACTGTTTCCCATCTAGTGGGCAGTTCCAAGTAATAGCATCCAGGACATCGAGTTGTTGCCAATAACGGTTCAGTGCCGTAAAATAACTCGTCACAGTCAACTCTCCTTGACGGAGATAATGAAGAATCCCTTTGATTTCAAATATTGCTGCAAGTGTTGTCTTGACTTGAGAATGTATCTCGAGCTGCTTCCCAAATTTCTGATGCTGTCTTGTACGTAGTAAAACATAAACTGTTCACCTATTTCAGGAGTCATAGAATTCAAGAGCCACGACATAACCATATTGTTCTCTGCCTTCCAATTTTTGTAACCTGGGATTTTATCTTCCGGTTGGACCGGATCAATGGACATGTATTCTTCTTTACGTTTCCCTCCGATGAAGATTGAAACAGAGTGAGACCAAAGGTTGTATTTCTGGCCATTCAGCTTATATGCAGTGGGCAAAGAGCTATAATCGAGATTAGTGGTCGGTTGGATTTGAGATGAGTTTTCTAGTGATGTGCTGGAACTAACATCATCACTGACTAGGGAAATAGGTACATTACCGAATTTGATTGAAGTATTATCCATGATGAGAGAGTAGTGGAAGAACCCAGTAAGAGCAGGGGAAAAGGGGAGGGAAATTTGGTTTGGAATTTACCCATGTTAGGGACCTGAACACTACCAATAATTAGAGCCTTATTAAGTCATTTTAGTTTTGTTCAATAATAGGGTTTAGGCCCTATAACTTATTAGAAGTGGGCTGGCCCATTAGAAATATAATAAATAAGGGTGAGTGGTGAGTAGATGAGGGGGCAGAACTTGGGATCAGGACTGGGATATTGGGAGTGAGAGACCGCTCGAAGAGTCTCAAACCTTTCCTTCACTAAATTTTCATTAATAAACTACTACTTTCTTCTTGGATTCTTCCTACTTATCATTGGTATCAGAGCCTATGATCGCTGCACCTTTTTGTATGGTCTTCACTCGATCGAACATGGAGCAGCGGATAAATAATTTGGAGATATCGCTGGAGCGATCTATGGCCGATATGAGCGCTGAGATGAAAGTTTTGATGGACGAAAAAGTACAGTTGTTGCTAGAGAAGATGCAAAGTCTCGAAGTCCAGGGCAGTCACAAGAGAAGAAGAGGACGATCGACCACCAATCGTCGACGCCAGACTTCTGCCAGCGTGAGTTTGTCCAATTCCGGAGGTAACCCTCATGATTCTCAATCCCTTTCTCGTGCTCCTGAGCATACAAGAATTAACGACCGGGTTTATACCGGAAGAAAGGTGGATATACCTCTGTTTAGTGGAAAGGATGCATATGGATGGCTTATCAGGGTTGAACGCTATTTCAAACTCAACCATGTGGCAGAAGAGGATAAAGTAGAAATAATCTTGATAGCCATGGCCGGAAAAGCTCTGAATTGGTACCAATGGTGGGATGAACAGACCGATGACCACGCCGGGGGTAATTTTAAGGAAGCTTTGATCAGACGCTTCCAGCCGGATTTAGTTCAGAACCCATTTGGTCCGGTGCTCAAAAGTAAGCAAACTAATTCAGTAATGGAGTACAGGGATCATTTCGAAATGGTTGTAGCTCCCCTCAAAATTGCTGACCCAGAGATGTTAAAAGGAGTATTTCTCAATGGCCTCAAAGAAGAAATTAGCACAGAGCTGAAGTTGTACCAGACCAGTGGGTTAACTGATCTCATGGACAAAGCCCTGCTTGTTGAACGGAAAACATGACATCAAAAGGAGAACAAAATAAAGAAGAAGACAAAAAAGGCTGGAAGGAACATGGAGGGAAAATGGTTAGACCCTGGAACTGGGTGGAAGCAACAAAGGGAAGAACACCTGCTGTGACTTCGGAGAGAACACATTCAGAGAACAAACTGGAGGAATCACCAAAACCGAATAAGACATGGGAGGGAGGCCAAAGGTTGACACAATTAGAGTTAGAGGAAAGAAGTAAAAAAGGCTTATGTTTCAAATGTGGGAACAAATGGAGCAAAGAACATGTTTGTGGAATGAAACATTATCAATTTATCTTGATGGAAGAGCCAGAAGAAGTGCAGGGAATAGAAGATCAGCTAGATGAACGGGATGAAGCTGCAAACCTGCTGAAAGCAAATGCCAAATCAGTCTCTTATCATCCACCTTGAGGACAAGGTGAAAGTTCGAGGGGGGGGGGGGGTGATGTTAGGGACCTGAACACTACCAATAATTAGAGCCTTATCAAGTCATTTTAGTTTTGTTCAATAATAGGGTTTAGGCCCTATAACTTATTAGAAGTGGGCTGGCCCATTAGAAATAGAATAAATAAGGGTGAGTGGTGAGTAGATGAGGGGGCAGAACTTGGGATCAGGACTGGGATATTGGGAGTGAGAGACCGCTCGAAGAGTCTCAAACCTTTCCTTTCGTGACTTTCTGTATTCCTTCACTAAATTTTCATTAATAAACTACTACTTTCTTCTTGGATTCTTCCGTTACTTATCAACCCACCAGGGAAATCATTGATTCAGAGGAGATACCATCAAGTGCTGCTTATCTCTTGTAGATAGGAGAGGATACGAGAGATAAAGAGAGAGGCTCTTTATTATATTATCGTTCATTTCTTATCCAATCAAACAGAAGGAACATGATATAAATACTAGGACAGGTAGCAGTGACTCAGCCCTAATAGTTCTGATAATTACAATACTACCTCTCTTTGTTAAATAAAGTAAACAAATAAGGAAAATTTAAACTCAGGAATCTTCAATACACATTATTTTCTAGAAACATACTACTCCCTCCGTCCCGGAATTATCTTCATACTTTCCTTTTCGGTCTGTCCCAAGTTTATCTCATCTTTCCCCTTTTAGCAAAGAATTTGTGGTTCCAATCATTCTTACACATTCTTACACATTTCTCTTTCCTCTGCACAACTCTCCACCACACATTTCTCACTATCTTAATATGTGTGCCAATTGTACTTGTGAAGATAAATATGGGACGGAGGGAGTATTTATTTAGACTAATGATTTATGTAATAGAAGTCCTTCTAGTATTGATGTTAAATCATGTAAAATACTTGTGGCATTGTTGGTTGAGATTTGTGATCTTCCTACAAAATTTATGTGGTGCAGTAAATTTCACAATATGAGGAAGGGGAACAAACACCATGAGGCATCTCCCACATTTGACAAAATTGTTTTCAGGAAGGTGGGTATTGATTTTATAAAAAGCCTCTGTCTGGTTTGAACTCTCTCAGTCACCTGGTTCTGCTTGGTTAGGTTAAAGAAGGACTTGGTGGCCGGGTACGTATTATATTATCCGGAGCGGCACCTCTTGCATCTCATGTTGAAACTTTTCTGAGAGTTGTGGCATGTGCTCATGTTCTTCAAGGATATGGTACTATTGTCTGTATATGCCTATAGAATTTCTATTTTCTAAACCTCTATTTCTATGTGTTATACTATCGTATGTAGTAAACGAGTGCTCTGTTATCTTATTGTATAGGTTTAACCGAAACTTGTGCCGGCACATTTGTCTCACTACCGAACCAGCTTGATATGCTGGGTACAGTTGGTCCTCCAGTGCCTAATGTGGACGTGTGTCTAGAATCTGTTCCAGAAATGGGGTATGATGCGCTGTCAAGCATACCAAGTGGTGAAGTATGTGTGAGGGGAGATACTCTATTCTCAGGTTATTACAAACGTGAAGACCTTACACAAGAAGTCATGATTGATGGGTGGTTCCACACAGGTTTGGCCCTTCCTTTTTGCTTATGTTGAGTATACCACACTGGTTGTGTTTTACGTTTGAGTGTAGGCGTATATGAGTATATCACATATCTGTGGGTTAAGCCCCACTTTTTGATGACTCTTTCAGGGCGAGTTAGGCTCAATTTAACATGGTAACAAAAGCGTATGTAGTAGTGCTTTGCAGGATGTTAAACAAGTCCATGTTTTTAGAAAATTCCCTTTTGGGTCGGTATGGGCCTATGCCTATTGTCCACCCTAGTTGTTCAGTCCGCTTTGGGCGGAGGGATAGTGTTGAGAGTATCACAAACTAGTGGCTTACTTGGTCTAAGTATACTCCCTCCCCAATGAAGTTCTCACTTTTCTTATTTGGGATGTCCTAAAATTAAGCTCCTATTTCTATAAATAGGATACTCCGTATTAATAATAGGAAATATCAATATTACTCTTATTTTTTGCTCTCTTTCACATAAAGTAAATGTTTACGTGAAAAAACGGAATGTCAAATTAAAATATTGTCTTGCATAAATGTGTGTTGGTCAAACTGGGATTTGTGGATGGAGGGAGTAGTGTATAAGTGTGTGGTAATCATTCCTCGTGGGGATCCTTTTGGATTGAGAATTACACCTAATCCAATAGCTTCTAACAAGATTTTCTTTTGTTCCATTTAACATTCAATTCTCTCAGGGGATATTGGTGAGTGGCAACCAAACGGAAGCTTGAAAGTTATTGACCGCAAAAAGAATATTTTCAAGCTCTCGCAAGGAGAATATGTTGCTGTAGAGAATTTGGAGAATATTTATGGTGAAATTTCAGTTATTGACATGGTAAGCTGCATATGTTTCAGTTCAAGGTTTTCTGGACGATATTGTTTAATACCTTTTGCTTGAAGTACCACTGAGAACTTATTATGTGCTTTTAAATGTGATTTTAACTGAATTCGTGTTTATTAAACTCAGCATCAACTTCTTTTGTGTACCAGATATGGATATATGGGAATAGCTTTGAGCATTTCCTCATAGCTGTTGTCAATCCAAATAAGACAGTGATTGAAAAATGGGCTGAACATAATGGCTTAGCTGGAAACTTTGAATCCATATGTGAAAGTCCAAAAGCAAAGGAATACATATTTGGGGAGCTGACTAGGGTTGCAAAAGAAAAGAAGGTTTTAGTAATTGATTCTCTTAACTTCAATATATATGTTCTTTTGGTAGACTACAGATAGCAGAATTTGGAAACTTATTTTTATTATTACATAACCCTCACTTTTCCATTGTAGTTGAAAGGATTTGAGTTTATAAAATCTGTCCACCTTGATCCAGTGCCATTTGACATGGAACGTGACCTTCTTACACCTACATTTAAGAAGAAAAGGCCACAGATGCTGAAATACTATCAGGTAATTTCTCTTGATGGGATTCCTTTGTTGCAAACTTGCAATTTTGTGAAATCTTAACTTACAAAGCATTCCCATTCCCATCTCTTGAACGCTTCCCAGTTCAACATGTTATCAAACCTGCCTTCCGTTTAATTCAGTGATTACACAAAAGCTTATTGCCATGATAATATATAAAATTTACACGATGCTTATGTACATCAATCCGTAGAATTGCTAACAAGACTCTTCATTGTATGAAAAAGATATTATGGGAGAGATATAGATTGAAACCATGCGATTTAAACTATTCATGGATTTGGTTTGAGATTTTGGTCAAATGTATTTATTTAATCTTATTTTTCCTAAACCTTAATTGACACATAACGATCACTACTCCTGCACGTGGTTAATGAAAACACTGCTGGGCTGATACAGTTGTTTTTGTGCAGAATATCATTGACAACATGTACAAGAGTGCAAAATGAGGCCATGGCAATCAATTATCTCCATTTATTTTTTTATTTATTTATTTATTTATTTATTTATTTATTTATTTATTTATTTATGCCATAGTTGAACTATATAGAATGTCATTATTAGACAATCCGACATTCTTATCATGATGGAGAAAATACTTTAGAGAATAGAGAGTTTTCCATTCGTCAATCTGCAGGCTTATTTTTTCATTTAATTGTAATAGACAGAATAAATTATGGTTTTGCATTGCTTGCATAATGCACGAGTTTTAGGTTTATGCTCATCCCTTTTTCCCATTCCATCTAGCATTTTGGCTTTAAACCGAATTTATTAGAGTTTATACTTTATAGGAAGATACAAATGTTAATTTTTGTACTATTTCAGCTACGATGAAAATAGAATTGATGCTTTATATGAGGAGCATTTGACAATTGAACTCGCATTGTCATGTACACCATCACACATAACATAAACTCTTTTTGTAAATAGCTTTATGAAAACATAATGTTCTTTTGTGTCATCGGGACATGGTTTGTATCTCTATCCCCAACTTAAAACTCATTAAGGTTGTAGATAGAATTGGGCAAGGACTCAAGGGGAACATCATTAGGAGATATTTGGGAAGTTGGAAGTTTCAACTTTTAATGGTGAAACAAAGATTTACTTGTGCACATTCTTTTCATAATTTATTCACATTTAGAGCTTGTTTGGTGACTTTGTTTTTCGTTTTATCAGGCTTATCAACCAACTTTTTAACCAAATATGTAATTTTTGATTTCTCGCGTTGAATTGTGTAATAATAAGAAAAAGTAAGGTTGAAGTTACTTTTGTGGTTATATTGATTGAAGTTACTGTAGATGATCATTTTAGCTATTTTTTCATATAATTTTCTTTATTTTATTAATAAAATATATTTTCATATAATTTTTTCATTAATCAGCAGAATTAGCCAATTCAGCCAAAATTTCATAAATTTTAACAGAATCAGCCGATTCAACCGATTTCAATTTTACCAAATAGGCTCTTATAAAGAAAGTTAGAAAAGTTGTGAAGCGCACAACATGGTAGCATCATAATTGCATAAAAGATGAGACAAAAGTAGAAGGGTCTCTTAGAAAGACCCCAAAGAGGACCATAGAGTTTGGATTTTAAGTGCTTCAAATTCTTGAGACTCTCGTTAGTATACTTGTTGGTCAGTATCACTGAGTGGAGTATATTAGTATATGTGGTAAATCATTCCTTAATAAACTCACGGCTTTGTCACTCTGTGCAATCATGATGTCAATCGAAGATAATTTGACCGACGTGTACAAAAAGTGTGTACAAACGGCATATTCCTAATAATAACTTGATATTACGGAGTACTTCATAGTATATTGCATCATCACCTCGTCAGTCCACACACCACAAGAGTTTACTGCTCTAGTTTTTTGGCTATGTATACTGCTCTAGTTATAATAGAAAAGATTACAAAGTAATTACGAGCTACCTTTTATTCTTCTGTGTTGGGGGTCGTGGATTAGTAACAGGGTTGACTCGGGAAAGGTTGACAGCCCAATTGCACAAGGCCCGATAAAAATTACTAGTAGTATGGGGTGTTTGGACCTGCTTCTTAAAACTGCTTATGCTCTGATAGAATATATACACTCGAACCTCCGGGTCTCACGATTATTGGGGTTGGACAGCGGCCACACACGCCTTACAGATATTACTTGTATTATTGTACAGTCCAATTTGTATCCTCTAGATTAGCCTTTTATAATATCAGTCCATTTATGTATCTGGGTCTGTTGGGCCCATAATAGAGGCCCAAACCCGAAAATCCCTATTTATACTCCTTTTGGAGCCTCTTGTAACCCTAGAACACAACTCATTCATACATTACTATTCATCATCTTCTCCACATTTCGTATCTCAATCTCTCCCTAATTATATATGTTTGAATCCCTATAATCCATCAATGGTGCTTTCATAGAGAGTTTTGAGCAAATCAAGTAAGAAGCCTCCTAAAATTATCCCAAAATTTCATCACAACCTTGAAGAAATCTCTGAAAATCTGTTCTGAAAACACAGAGAAAACAAAAAAGGAACAAAATATATAAAATTTGAAATGTGGATTCCCCTGACCGGAGCTGGAGCCGTCGAGCCAGAGCCATCCACGTCGCATCGTGCGCCATCGTTTGAAGCTTGTTGCCTACTCATACCCGCTTACACAGTCTCCATATCTCGCCACAGCAGCTCGACGGTCGGAGCTGGGGCCACCACTGTAATGTCCATAGCTCTTCGGTTGCAGGAGTAAGCCTCAGAGGTCCACCATTAATGGCCGCTGAGAGCTCCAGGGGTAAAAAATCATAAAGCAGTGCGCTCCTATGACTCAACTTGAAGAGCATATCGGTCGCGCCCGAGGAAGCTTTGTCGCTAGTGCCGGTCGCTGAAGTCCCACCAACCTCGCTCCGGGTCGTTTCTTCTCTACCGCTCGATTCGCCTGAGGAAGGTTCCAGTTTCCGCCGGAGAAAGCTTTGCCGCTGGTGCTGTCCGACAGAGTTGCGCCTTCACCATCCTCTGTCGCTGCTGGCTGCTCCCCTGGATGAGCTACAGTAGCGGCATGCTACTTGGGATTGTTGCTGCACACTCGCCAAACGTGAAAGGTGGCTTCTTATCAACTAGGTCTTCTATTTTGGAGCTGCCCAGTAAAGAGTAAAGGCCCAACTACACCATTTACATCAATCAGCCCAACCAGCCCTCAATTTCAGCTCAATTCCAAAAGCTAAGTATCCTTAAATTATCTCCATACCATTAATATGTGAACATATTTGATAACAATTATTACAAAAAAGTCATAAAATGAAATATTTTAATAATATAGTACTACCTCCGTCCCATTGGAAGGTTCCCGTAGCAAAACGACATGGTTATTTAGGCAATAATTAAATAAAGTTCTTTGAGTATATTTTGAGAAATAATTTTAATAGGTATATTTTATAATGTAGTTAGTATTGATAATTGTGATGTTATAAATGTATTATTTTTAATATTTAATGATTAATTTGTCAATTAAGATTGTTAATTGTTTCCTAAAATGGAAATAGGAACCTTTATATGGGACGTCCAAAAAGGGAAAGTGAGAACCTTCTAATGGGACGGAGGGAGTATCAAGCTTCAATCTCGAGAGGCGAGTCATCCTTTAAAAGACCCTTAAATGCGCATGTCTGGTGGATCCCAGCTACGAACTTGAGTGATGAGTTGAGCTAGATTATTAATTTATTATCATTATTTTTTATATAGTGTGTATTTTTTGACATTGAGAAAATGGACTTATGAATGCCGAGCACTCGCATACACCGGGCGAGCACACACTCGCGCCACCGGGTCACGTCAAACGGGTGTGGCGATAATAAGCTCCAAATCCAAATGTTATCCAATACACACTGTAGTTTCTATGTTATGTATGAGTTATGTGTGCCCTTAACTATCAGACTCGAACTGTGATCCCCCAACGGGTGTAGGTTTAGTCCTTTACGCGTGCCACGCTCAACTAAGCATAGAAATCTAGATTGAGCCCTAGCTTGGAAATTTGAGGTCACTTAATGTAGGTCCAAATCTAATAGCGAATTATAAGCTCAAGAAATTATAACAATTTTATTTGAATGCATAGGTGCAACTAAATGATGACATAATCTCGGCCCTTTAGCCGTCTCTCCTGGTCATCTTTATTTGATGACTTGGCTTCATATAGGTCTCTTGGCCACATATCTCGGTCATCTTTATTTGATGGCCTGGACATCATATTATGGACGGTCACTCGACCTATCTCTTAGTCATCTTAATTTGATGACTGTGATTAGTTATCATGCCGAGCTACTCACATCAAGAGACTGGTCTCGGCCATCCCCTCAACAGACGGACACTGTTGTAGCCCCACACCTAGGTCGAAGGGCTCACACTTTTTGCTTCATTTTTGGGGCATCCGATGTACTCTTTTTCCCTCATTAGGAGTTTTTCCCACTGTGTTTTTTCCTAATGAGGTTTTTAACGAGGCATCTCCCCATTGTGGATCAAAAGGCGTCGACCCTCGACCCCCTATTGAAGACATGCATTACTCTACTTCTTTTCACCTCATTACACGTGCCTCAAGGAGTGGGAGGCTGGAAGAGCGGGGGACTTGGCGCCTCCGTTAATTGAAGAAGCACAAATTCAAATTTTGTTTACAAAGTTTACTCACCAGACGACGACAAATCAACAAACAGTTCTACTCTCTTTCGCCTCAAGTACTCTTGACTTAGGAAGTGGGGAACTCCTGATGGAGTATATAGACTCGGACCCCCGGGTCTCACGACTATTGGGCCTGGACAGCGGCCACACACACCTTACTTGTATTATTGTACAGTCCAATTTGTATCCACTAGATTAGCCTTTTATATTATCAGTCCATTTATGTAACTGGGTCTGTTGGGCCCATATTAGAGGCCCAAACCCGGATTTCCCTATTTATACTCCCCTTTGAGCCTCTCATAAACCTAGAACATAACTCATTCATACATTACTATTCATCATCTTCTCCACATTTCTTATCTCAATCTCTCCCTAATTATATATGTCTGGATCCCTATAATCCATCATGCTCCTTTAAAGAGCAAAAGCAAATATTGGAGTGTTTGGCTGAAAATGCAGAAGTACTTCTGGATGCTTCAAATGGCTTACCGAAACAGTTTTTAGAAGTTATGGGAGACCACCTTCTAAAAACTGATTCCGCTTTTAGAAAGATGGGTGCTCCAAACATCCATTATTAATACTACTACCTCCGTCCCACTAATATTGGGACGGAATGAGTGACACGATTCTTAAGAAAAGTGAGCTTATACGGTTGATATTAATTGAAAAAATAAGAATAAAGTAAGAATATTTTAGAGCCACACAATCTTTGGGTTAAGCCTCACTTTTTGATGACTCTTTCGGGGCGAGTTAGGCTCAATTTAACATGGTAACAAAAGCGTATGTAGTAGTGGTTTGCAGGATGTTAAACAAGTCCATGTTTTTGGAAAATCTCCTTTTGGGTCGGTATGGGCCTATGCCTATTGTCCACCCAAGTTGTTCAGCCCGCTTTGGGCGGAGGATAGTGATGAGAGTATCACACACCAGTGGTTACTTGGTCTAAGTATACTCCCTCCCCAATGAAGTTCTCAATTTTTTTATTTAGGATCTCCTAAAATTAAGCTCCTATCTATTATTATAATAATATAATAATAGTAAAATGTATTCCCGCCCAATTGCGTTGCAAGTCCACTCTGCTAGCCTACGGAAAAATG